CTTTTAAATAAACTAGTCATGCTGGATTAAGGGCCCACTCTACTCTAGCATGAACTCATCTTAACTGATTACATCTGCAATGACTCTATTTTCAATTAAGTTCACTTTTTGAGGTACTGGGGGTTGGGATTTTTTTTTTTTTTTTTTGGAGATGGAGTTTCGCTCTTGTTGCCCAGGCTGGAGTGCAATGGTATTATCTCAGTTCACCACAAACTCCACTGGGTTCAAGCGATCCTCCTGCCTCAGCCTCCTCAGTACCTGGGATTATAGGCATGTGCCATCATGCCTGGCTAATTTTGTCTTTTTAGTAGAGACAGGGTTTCTCCATGTTTGTCAGGCTGGTCTTGATCTCTGCACCTCAGGTGATTGACCGCCTCAGTCTCCCAAAGTGCTGGGATTATGGGCATGAGCCCCTATGCCCAACCTCAGGGTTGAGATCTTAACATATCTTTTTTGGGGGAAACAATTTAACCCATGACTCCTTATACCAGCAACTTAGTTTACACACAGCCTGTTTTATCCAAGGCAATTTAAGTGTGACTACCTCATAGACACATTAAATCTGAAGAAAGGTTTACCTGTTTGCTCTATTAAACTGACTATACTTGAAATATGATTTTGTCTGCATCTTCCTTTATATGGAATTTTTTTTTTTTTTTTTTTTTTTTTTTTTTTTTTATAGATGGAGTCTCACTCTGTTGCCAGGCTGGAGTGCAGTGGAGCAATCTCAGCTCACTAGCTCACTGCAACCTCTGCCTCCCAGGTTCAAGAGATTCTCCTCCCTCAGCCTCCTGAGTAGCTGGGACTACAGGTGCGTGCCACCATGCCTGTCTAATTTTAATTTTTGTAGAGATGGGGTTTCACTGTGTTAGCTAGGATGGTCTTGATCTCCTGACCTTGTGATCCACCCGCCTTGGCCTCCCAAAGTGCTGGGATTACAGGTGTGAGCTACCGTGCCCAGCCTGGAAACTCTTTTATTACTGAAAGAATCATCCCTTGACCAGAGGTAACTCTAAATTCCTTTGTGGATTTTATAATCAGAATGATTCTTGCTCAGTCCAGCTACTCTATTGAATTGAGAAGTAACTCAGGAAACATTTGCTGTGGCTTTCTCTTTACAATGTGGATTGAGGAAGAGAAGGTCCATGTGCCAAAAAGATAAGGCAGATGCACAGGTAACTAAGTCAAGAACAAGAGTCTTAATGACATTTGGGTCCCAGGCTTCAATTATTCTTGGGCTCAGGTTCACACCTATTCTTGGGGTGAGTTGTCTATACTCATAATTGTCTATACTCAGTTTTTAAAAAAATATATATATAGTTTGAGTTAGGTTTCAATTATTTAATTTATGAAGCATTTTTACCGGGACTGCTGTGTGGCCCAACACTAGGTGGTGCTGTTCATTACAGCAGCCACCAGCCCCATCTAGCTATTTAAATTAATTAAAGTTAGGCAAGGGGCAGTGGCTCACGTCTGTTCATCCAGCACTTTGGGAGGCTGAGGCAGGAGGACTGCCTGAGCCCAGGAGTATGAGAACCAGCCTGGGCAAGATAGTGAGACATTGTCTCTACAAAACATTTTTTTTCTCAAATGTAGTAACAAATATATATTTAAAATTAATTAAGGCCAGGCGCAGTGGCTCATGCCTGTAATCCCAGCACTTTGGGAGGCCAAGGTGGTCAGATCACTTAAGATCAGGAGTTTGACACCAGCCTGGTCAATGAGGTGAAACCCCGTCTCTACTAAAAATGCAAAAGATTAGCTGGGCATGGTGGTGGGCACTTACAGTTCCAGCTATTTGGGAAGCTGAGATAGGAGAATTGCTTGAATGTAGGAGACGCAGGATGCAGTGAGTCAAGATCATACCATTGCACTCCAGCCTGGGTGACAGAGTGAGACTCTGCCTCAACAATAACAATAAAACAAACAAACAAAACCCCACTAAAATTAAATAAAACTAATAATTCAGTCACACTAATCACATTCCAAATGCTTAACAGCCACAAGGGGCTAGTGGCTACTGTACAGGACAGCACAGACAGAACATTTCCATCATTGGAAAGTTCTTTTTGATAGCCCTGGTCTTCCACGAATGACTCCCTGGAGTTAAAGGGGCATAATCAAGAGGAAGGTCCATCCTCAGTTGTACCAAGACAAGGAAAAGAAAAAAAAAAAAAAAAAAAAAAAGAAGAGGAGGGTCCACACTACACAGGTAGCTATATTCTCAAAGCCCATTGTATACTAAGTTCTGTTTATTAAGGTGTACTTTATTTCCACCAACTAAGGCTGTAAGTTTCCAAAATTTCAAGTGTCTTAGTTTTCTATCCCCTTTAAAGATGTGAATTTTTAAGGGTTTTAATGAAAAAAGCCCTGAATTCAGAGTTGGTACTTGAACTCTTACTCTGTTACTATGTGACAAATCACATTAGCTTCCCATTGTTGCTATAACAAAACTTTTTTATTGTAACAATACAAACATATTATCTTACAGTTTTGTAGGTGAGAAATCTGATACAGGTGGGCTGAAGTCAAGGCGCTAGCAGGGTTGTGTTCCTTTTTGCAGCCTCTAGTGGGGAATTTGTTTTCTTGATTTACCTTGGCTGTTAGCTTCATCTTCAAAGCAGCAATGGTAAAGAAGACCTTCACATCACATCACTCTGACACGTTGTGCTCCCTCTCCCACTTATAGGGACCTTGTGATTACGCTGGGCCCAACTACATAATTCAGGATAAATGTCGACACTACAAATTTATGAAGGCAAGCAGATTGCTTGAGCCCAAAAGTTTGAGACCAGTTTGGGCATCATAGCAAGACCCCATCTCTACCAAAAACTTTTAAAAAGTAGCCAGATCTGGTGGCACAGGCCTGTAGTCCCAGCTACTTGGGAGGCTGAGATGAGAGGATCACTTGAGCCCAGGAGATCCAGGCAGCAGTGAGCTGTAATTGTTTCACTACACTCCAGCCTGGGCAAGAGGAGATCCAGTCTCAAAAAAAGGGAAAAGGGCTTTCCTGAGGGTCAAATGAAGTACAGTTTACCCTTGAACAACATGACTTTAAACTGCATGAGTCCACTTATGCATGGATCCACTTACACAGAATTTTCTTCTCCCTCTTCCACCCAAGACAGAAAGACCAACTCTTCCTCTTCCTCCTCAGCCTACTCAATGTGAAGATGATGAGGATGAAGACCTTTACGATGATCCATTTCCACTTAATGAATAGTAACTATATGTTTTCCTTAAGGAGTACAGTGGTTTCTTGGCTCAGTGCAACCTCTGCTTCCCCGGCTCAAGAGATTCTCGTCTCAGCCTCACAGGCAGCTGGGACTACAGGCATCAGCCATCACGCCTGACTAATTTTTGTATTAATTTTTTTGTAGAGATGGGATTTTGCCATGTTGTCCAGGTTGGTCTTGAACTGAGCTCAAGTAATCTGCCTGCCTCAGTGTCCCAAAGTGTGTGTATATATATATACACACACACACACATATACACACTTTTTTTTTCTCTCTAAAGAGATGAGGTCTTGCTATGTTGCTAAGGCTGGAGTGTAGTGACTATTCACAGGTGTGATCCCACTACCGATTAGCCTGGGAGTTTTGACCAACTGTTTCTGATCTGGGCGGGTTCACCCCTCCTTAGGCAACCTGCTGGTCCCCTGTTCCTGGGAGGTCACCATATGGATATCGAAATTAGTGAGGAAGCCCAATCAGCATAGTGCACTATATCCGAGAACTCCTGAGCTCAAGAGATCCTCCTGCCTCAGGTTCCCAAGTAGTTGGGACTACAGGAACACACCACAGCATCTGTTAATAGTTAAGATTTTGGGGAGCTGAAAGTTATATGTGGATTTTTTTATTGCTCAAGGGGTTGGTGCTCCTACTAAGGAAGTTACATGTATATTTAAAATTGTCTATTAATCCTCCACCCTCTTTTTAAAAATCAAGAGTCCAGGTGAGGTGGCTCATGTTTGTAATCCCAGCACTTTGGGAGGCTGAGGTGGGAAGATCACTTGAGTTCAAGAGTTGGAGACCAGCCTGGGCAACATAGAGAGATCTTGTCTCTACTAAAACCAAAAAAAAATTAGCTGGGCATGGTGGTACATCCCTGTAGTCCCAGCTACTGAGGAAGCTGTGGTGAGAGAATCACTTAACCCTGAGAACAAGCCTCTGTCTCAAAAAGAAGCCCCAAACAAACAACTCCCCTAAAAACAACCAAGAGTTAAAGTTTGCTAAATCATAGGCTTAAAGTCCTATTAGCAAAAAAGACAACAAATTTTGTGTTGTCCTAACAGTGAGTAAAAGTAGTCACCCACATGAAAATCATTCAAATTCAGAGAGTTAGAAACAACTCTGGTAACAGGAGTTTTTTTCTGGTAACAGGAGTTTTTCATCCTTCCTTTCTAACTTACCAAAATGACTCCTCTATAGAAAATAATCTTTGTGATCCTATGCATTTTGAGTATTGAGGGAATTCTGTCCTCCTAATATACTAAATAAATGTTTGGATCAGAAATTAAAAGGTGATGACCAGGTGTGGTGGCTCATGCCTGTAATCCCAGCACTTTGGGAGGCCAAGGCGGGTGGATCACCAGGTCAGCAGTTCAAGACCAGCCTGGCCAATATGGTGATATCTTATCTCTACTAAAAATACAAAAATTAGTTGGGACATGGTGGCAAGCGCCTGTAGTCCCAGCTACTCAGGAGCTGAGGCAGGAGAATCACTTGAACTCAGGAGGTGGAGGTTGCAGTGAGCCAATATCGTGCCACTGAACTCCACCCTGGGTGACAGACAAAGGCTCTGTCTTAAAAAAAAAAGAAAATGTCATCACCTTTGACCATTAAAAAAAAAAAGTAAAGGTGATACAAGAGTAAATCCTGAGTTTTGAATCTATGTCCTTAATTACCACTTACCTTGTTATCAGATGGTACCTTCCATATTGAAATACTTCCATTAATGTACCTTAGAATGAACATTTTCCACAAGTTGTCACAATATGCTTTATCTGAAGAATACAGAAGCATTTTTTATTTATTTTCATTTAATGATGCAAAATACAACTGCTGACTTCGTATATAGTCACATACAACCTTTTTTCTCACATTTACAATTCAACAGATGGTAAATCCAGAGAAACAGCTACAGTCACCATATGGAGCATACCTATAATGAAGAAAGAAAAAAAAGTATAGCATTAGCCAGAAGAAATAATATTAAAATTAAACTACTCTGAATAATTCATCTTAGAGCATCAGAAAAAGTCTAGAAAAGAAACCCACAAAGAGTAGCAATACCTTATTTTAACAAAAAATATTTTGCCTTAACTATGAAAGAATAGCAAAAACCATCTGGTTTGCATTTAAATGCCTATTTCATTTTTACCTCTCTCTCTCTCTCTCTCTCTTTTTTTTGGTAGAGTTCCCTGAACTCCTGGGCATAGGCTATCCCACGCCTTGGCCTCCCAAAGTACTGAGATTACAGGCATAAGCCACCAAGCCCAGCCTCATTTTTATCTCTTGATTGGCTGGCTGTGGTAGTAAAATGGGCAGGGTGCTTATAGAAAAAAGGCAAAAGATTTGGAAAATCAACCATAAAGAGCTGAGTTTCAGAGTCATAAAATAGGGAAAAAATATGGAAAACAAATAGTTTATTGATTATTATGTTTATTATACAGCAGATGTAAGTTACTTAATGTTAATCAACCCAGTCACAAAAGCTGAGATTTTTAAGTGACTTTTCACTTATAGAAGAATACAGGATTTTAGGTCGGGCGCAGTGGCTCAAGCCTGTAATCCCAGCACTTTGGGAGGTGGGTGGATCATGAGGTCAAGAGATCGAGACCATCCTGGTCAACATGGTGAAACCCCGTCTCTACTAAAAATACAAAAAGTTAGCTGGGCATGGTGGCGCGTGCCTGTAATCCCAACTACTCAGGAGGCTGAGGCAGGAGAATTGCCTGAACCCATGAGGCAGAGGTTGCGGTGAGCCGAGATCATGCCATTGCACTCCAGCCTGGGTAACAAGAGTGAAACTCCGTCTCAAAAAAAAAAAATACAAGATTTTTCAATAAGCGTTTCAGAAATACACCATATAGCTGGGTGTGGTGGCTCACGCCTATAATCCCAGCACTTTGGGAGGCCAAGACGGGTGGATCACGAGGTCAAGAGATCGAGACCATCCTGGTCAACATGGTGAAACCCCGTCTCTACTAAAAATACAAAAATTAGCTGGGCATGGTGGCACACGCCTATAGTCCCAGTTACTCGGGAGGCTGAGGCAGAAGAACTGCTTGAACCCAGGAGATGGAGGTTGCCTGTATGTGTGTGTGTATATATGTGTGTGTGTATATATATATATATATACACACACACAATGTATGGTGCACTTACATATATATATATTTATTATTTTTTTTTTGAGATGGAGTTTCGCTCTTGTTGCCCAGGCTGGAGTACAATAGCACAATCTCGGCTTACTGCAACCTCCGCCTTCTGGGTTCAAGCAATTCTCCTTCCTCAGCCTCCTTAGTAGCTGGGATTACAAGTGCCTGCCACCACACCCAGCTAATTTTTTGTATTCTTAGTAGAGACGGGGTTTCACCATGTTGGCCAGGCTCGTCTTAAAATCCTGACCTCAGGTAAGCCGCTCACCTCAGCCTCCCAAAGTGCTGGGATTACAGGCGTGAGCCACCATGCCTGGCCAGGTGTATATACTTTTAAATTATTTATTTATTTTTGAGACAGAGTCTCATTCTGCCACACAGCCTGGTTGGAGTGCAGCAGCCCAATCTTGACTCACTGCAACCTCCCAACCTCCACCTCCTGGATTCAAGCAATTCTTTTGCCTCAGCCTCCCAAAGTAGCTGGGACTACAGGCGTGCACCACCATGCCCAGCTAGTTTTGGTGTATTTTTAGTACAGATGGGGTTTCACCATGTTGGCCAGGCTGGTCTCAAACTCCTTGTCTCAAGGCCTCTCAAAGTGTTGGGATTACAGGCATGAGCCACTACACCCAGCCAGGTGTATATATTATATATATACAAACTTTCTCTTTTAAATCCTAGACCATGCAGAATATGCTGTTTTGTTCATAACTAGGTTTTTACCAGGAACTGTCCAATTGGATATTAGTTGTAGTGACAACTACAACAATAATGAAATAGTCATGTAGAAAAAATTTAAAAATCGATCGCCTTATAAATTCATCACTTCTACAAATATTAATCTCTAAATGGACAAGATGAGTAAGTTGCTGAATGAACAATTAATAAAACAGGTTTCTGTTCTCATGGAATTCACACTCGAGTGTGGGATATACCAAACAGATGTTAAGAAATACACACACAAAGAATAATAATTTGTTGTAAGTGCCATGAAAACAAGGTGTAAGGCACTATTAGATTTAGGAAAATAATGTAATTTTGGTTTCGTTCTTAAACATATCTTTCTTTGAACAGAGTCAAAGACTAATGATTAAAAATGATTCTGCTCCATGCGCGGTGGCTCACGCCTATAATCCCAGCACTTTGGGAGGCCGAAGCGGGTGGATCACAAGGTCAAGAGATCGAGACCATCCTGGTCAACATGGTGAAACCCTGTCTCTACTAAAAATACAAAAATTAGCTGGGCATGGTGGTGCATGCCTGTAGTCCCAACTGCTTGGGAGGCTGAGGCAGGGGAATTGCTTGAACCCAAGAGGTGGAGGTTGCCGTGAGCCGAGATTGCACCACTGCACTCCAGCCTGGGTAACAAGAGCAAAACTTGGTCTCAAAAAAAAAAAAAAAAGAATAAGATTCTGCTAAAAGATTCTTGAGGCCGGCAAAAAGGCTCATGCCTATAATCCCAACACTTTGGGAAGCTGAGGAGAGAGGATCACCTGAGGCCAGGAGTTTGAGACCAGCCTAGCAAACAGGTCTACAAACAAACAAACAAACAAAAACCCCTAAAATCCAAACCAACTGCTTGAAGCAAATTTATAAATTTGTCACAGACTGAAATATGGGTGCCAAAATGTATAAACCTAATACAAAACAAACAACAAGCTTGTTTTTCAGTATTTAAAAAAGAGGTCAAGTTAATTTGCATTATCTATTCATCCAGTAAACTTGTATACTTACTATATTAGTATTTCAAGTTTATTCCAGTCCATTTCTTCTTTTGTACTCTACAATATATTCATTATGTTTTCTGATGAGCTACAAATAAACAGTTAAAATTAGAAATGTAATCTTCCTGGATACTTATATTTTGTAAGATGAATAAGAATAGAAAAAATAAACAACTATTCTGGTTAGAAATAAAAGGCTAAGAGATCCAAAAGTTCAAAAACCAGGAATGGTATACACTTGATCACCACAATCTGACATACTAAATTTGAGAAGGGAGCCCTTAAAAATTTATTTATTTACTTATTTAGAGATGGAGTTGTGCTCTTGTTGCCCAGGCTGGAGTGCAATGGCACGATCTCGGCCCACTGCAACCTCCTTTTCCTGGGTTCAAGCGATTCTCCTGCCTTAATCTCCCCAGTAGCTGGGATTACAGGCATCCACCACTACGCCTGGCTAGTTCTTGTATTTTTAATAGAGACAGGATTTCACCATATTGGCCAGGCTAGTCTCGAATTCCTGACCTCAGGTGATCCATCCACCTCGGTCTCCCAAAGTGCTGGGATTATAGGTGTGAGCCACTATGCCTGGCCAAAAATTTAAATTCAACTACTGCCAAAAAATTTTTCTCATTTGGTGGGTAATAAATTTAATAAAATGCCTTATCAGGGGTAAATCAACATGATACAGCAGAACTTGGTTATTAAATGGGATCCAGGTGGATTCGTGTTATGCTTCTAATCTTAAAAGTGTGATACCTTGATTGAATCACCAACCCCACCACAAAGTGTTCTCAGCAGTAATCAAGCTTCTTGTTAGAGTAAACCTTAAATTAAGAATGCATAAAATTCATTATAAGCAGTATTATTCAAAAAGATGAGTTACTATTAAGTTGTAAGCGATTCAAAATCTCTCATCCCTTTCCTAATCAAAAATCTGAACCACTTTAACAAGAAAAATTAAAATATCTAAGACCTGGGGGGCCAGTTGAGGAAGCCCCAGACCCATTAGATAAGAAATAAAATTTTAAATATTAATATAGCAGATAATTTAACTTTTAAAAATAATTTTATCTCTACAGAGGCAGTGTTTCACAGTGGTCTATAGGATAGTGCGGCTTCTGAAGTCAGGAGAACTGAGTTCAGCAAATTAATTTCTCCAAGTGTGTTTCTCATCTGCAACAGGTCAACAATAGTAGGTACCACATAGTGTTGTTGAAATGATTAAATACAAGTTTATGTGTGAAGCATGTGACATGAAAATTTTTTTAAAAAGGTCGCTACACACTAAGTACAGTTTCCAACAGCGTATTTAAACAAACATTGATTAAAACCTAATGTTTTGGAAGTCTACTGGGATTCAATTTGTACAACTTGTACACTGCTGGTTTGTACAACTTTGTACAACATCTGAAAAGGATACCTTCATAGAACTCCAATCAGCCTCAATTCTCATTAATAAAGTATAATTACTATTTAGTAAAACTGCTATTCCTTACTAAATCATGTTAAGAAACAATAACAGAAATTTCAGTCCCATCACACTTTTTCAATGTTGCTGAAACTTTAATTTCTTTTTAGTCCTTGGGATTTTCCTTATGGGTAATTATGTTCTCAGCGATTATATAAATATCCTATTAGAAGAGTTTCACTGCCATACAACGTAACAGCACCCATCTCGCAATGCTATCTCATTCTCCTACTATGTTGGCATAGTCTCACAACATCCGGTAGTAAGGTACTTACATAGACCCACAAGAAGACGCTGGTGCCCACGGACAACCCAACTTTCAGCCAGTTAGGTTTGGCATTCGGAGGCTCGCGCGCGTAGAACTTCGACCGCGCTGAAGCTGAAAGGGCAGAGTGTCTGTAAACCTGTAACTTACTGCCTTGCAGGGAAAAAACCCTAATATCTATGAGCGTATTATCGCATTTAACTCTCCCTTCAACTCACCCATCACCCACTTAAACAGCCAAGGAAATAGAGGTTCAGAGAGGTCAAGTAACTCGCCCATGCCCACTGGCAGAATTAGGACGCACCAGTCCTGCCCGACGCCTTCAAAGCCTCCTTTAAGGGCTTACAGACCCTCAGACGACTCGGGAGTGCGCAAGTAGGGGGCGCCCCGGGGAGGGTGTCTCCTCTCCCTGTCTACGGGACCAAATGTGCAGAGTTGGGAAAGGCAGGAACCCAAAGTCTATTTACAAAGGCCAGAGTGGTCAGGTCGCACTTGGATAAGTGCTCGAGCCGGGTGATGGGGAGCAGAGTCCCACGTAGGGGACAGGCCTGGGCCCGCTGGCAGGCGAAGGTCACTGCAGGACGAGCCCGGGCCGCTGCCGCCTCCTGCACCCGCGGGCTGGGTCCGTCTTAGGAGGGGTAATCTGAGGGTCAAACTGGCCTGCCAAGAGGAGTGACACTCACAGCGGCTCGGGAGCCTGGCGGGGGCCAGCAGCCGGGAGAAGGGACGAAGGAACGCGGACGGCGCCATCTTGAGTGGCCGGCCTTAGTCTCTCCGGGAGTCGGCGTCAGAACCAGCGCCACCTGGCGGGCGGAAGTGCGGGACTCCGGGGCTCTGCAGCCAAGCTCCGTCGGGGTGTCAACGGGAATCCCAGCACGGCAAGGTTCCCTAGCACCCCGGCCTCAGCCTTCTGTCTGAAAAGTGGAATTAGGAAGAATGTAATTAAAAGAAAAAGACAGTTTACCTAGTCGCTGTCTTCTGGGGTTTTTTCATCTCATCTCTAAGGCTACTCATCAAGAGGTTTATTAAAATTTTCCTACATGAGCCAGAAAAAGAAAATGGAAGTATTGTGCTGAATAATAACCAGCGTTTGGATTGAATTCTGTGGTCCAGGCACGGTGCATTAATGTATCATATGGTTTACATTCATTGTCTTATTTCATCTTCACAACGAGCACATATCATGCGGTGATTATTAGCCTCAATTTACAGATGAAGCTCTGCTACTCACCCAATTTTTTTTATAGTTGAAAGATCTCTTAACACTTACCATTTACACTCATGATCATAATAAAGCTTCACAAACCTGTAAAGTAGAAATTCCATATTTTAGAAGTGAAAGTGCCTTGGACAGGCTCAAGATCACACGGCTGGCAGAGGAAAAATACAGTTTGAGGTCTCCTGACCCCAGATCTAGCGATCCTCGTGAGCTCACCTAACAGACTTGGACAACCCTAGACCATAAGATGTAGATCAGCGTTCGAAGCCATTCTGCTTACCACTTTTTAGCTCTATGATTTCTAGGCAAGTTACTTAACCTCTCTTTACCTAAATTTTACAACTGTAACATAAACCTTATAGGGTTGTTGAGTGTCTGGTAGTAGTAAACAATTTATTTGGTTTTGCCTATTAAAGACATTGTTTTGAGGAATAGATTTTATCTTGCACGATTGAGCCAGATCTTCGTGCATTCAATTCAGTTCAATCTGATGTCTAAAGACCAGTAAAAATACGTACAGGTAACAGACCAATACATTTTGACCTTTTAATAATGATCCTTTAAACCTTATGCCATTTAGGTTAATTTTAAAACCAAAATAAATGTTAGCAAATCTCCTATATTCTCTTCAGTAGTGTTATTTTAAAATCTTTTTTTAAACCAAAAACTATTGACCAAAACGTCGATTAATTGCACTGTGTTTTCTGGCTCATTTTAACATGCAAATTGTGGATAGGTGGATTGCTAAACTGTGAGTCACTTTAGTTTGTAACCTAGTTTGAGCCTCCTGGACTCAAGCTCAAGCAAGTAAACTACCTAATGAATGTGCTGAGCCAGTTGTTGGTTCTCAACTTATTAGCTTCTTGTCCACTCAGCAACCTGTCAGTTGTATATCCTTTCTACACCATCCTTTGGAAGCTTGTCCTGACGAAGCTTTTGCTAGTATCCAACAAGTTGAAACGTGCCACATTTGGTCAGAGTATAAGAACCAGTAAGCAAATTACTAATTTCAGTACCGCTGTTGGGAAAGACTGCTTTGTTCTTTTTCAGAGCTTTGGCCCTTGTATCCTTTTACTGGGGTGTATTTTGGGAAAGTGATGAATTATAAGCACATTTTTTTGAGCATATTAGAGCTGATGGAACTGTACACTTGGAGTACCAAGATGTACGTGAAACTCCATCTTGAAAAGAATCCTGGCCGGGCGTGGTGGCTCATGCCCGTAATCCAAGCACTTTGGAGGCCAAGGCGGGCGGATCACCTGAGGTCGGAAGTTCAAGATCAGCCTGACCAACACGGTGAAAAAAATTTTTTTTGTAGAGATGTGGTCTCACTATGTTGCCCAGGCTGGTCTCAAACTTCTGGGCTCAAGCAATCTTCCTCAGCCTCTCAAAGTGCTGGGATTATAGGCATGAGCCACGTGCCTGGCCTGTGTCTTTTTTTGTTTTTGTTTTTTTTTGTTTTTTAAATAAGACCCAAATACTTAATAAATTAGATGTAACAGTTTCAATAGAGAACATCTTACATACATAGAGAAATTTCATTCAACATAACCCTTTCATAGAATTAAAGTTTGTAAAGTAAATGATTTTATTTTATTTTTGGTTAATATTTTTTAGAGTTGGCATTTTGAACACAGTGACATGCAAGCACAGGGGGTAAGATGAATTAACTAGGAGCAGTAGCAGCCACCGCAGCATATAGCCTTGGATATGTTAACTTTCTGAAAGCATGGCTGTCACAGTATAACTGAAATGGGATCTCTATTTGTCAAATTACGGTGATCAGAGTAAATATTTCTTATTATTGAGTTCAGGCTACTGCTGTGTGGTAGAAATTTTCTTCCTCTGGAAAAAAAAAAACAGAATATAATTTAGAGAACTAGAGCAAATAGTATTGCTGTAGGGATTTTTGGATATGAAGCCAGAGATTTGGAAATCTAAGCTAAAATTACCAACTGCATTTAGACTATTTTTCTGTCTTTCAATAGTTCAGTTGAAAGACCTCTTGGGGCAGTGAATTTTGCAGGTTATCACTAAATAACAGCTTAAAAAGTGAATTCTAAGCTTGTTCTTAGTTTTATAAAGTTAAGGTTAAAAGACTAGCTACTTTTCAAACTGAAACATCGTTTCCTGTGTATATGATTTTCTTAAACTTTTGAAGAGAGATTAGAGATTAAGAAAACTCCAGGATTTAACTGCTAAAAACCTTATTTATGACCTTGGTGAAGGGAGTGGACAATCAAGACAGCAGCTAGAAAACCCAAATTTATATAGGGAAACCTATTTCTCAACTTACACTTTCCAGGGACAGTTAAGAGAAGTTTGAAAATTAAAATATCTTTGTAAATAAATTTAAAATTGTAAAAACATGCACATATCATATTGTTTAATAATTCATGATGCAAAGAATGCTACAGAGTGAAATCAGGATTTGGAAAGAGATAATCAATAGCCAAAGGTTAAAAATGGCTCATATGACTTGCAAATTTTTAGATCAATGGAATGTCACTTTGAAAACGTTTTGATGTCAGCTGTTAATGAAATGACTTACATTTTTGGAAGGGGTCCTATTCGGTATCTAGTCTGACTTCGCCTACTCAAGTAGTTCTCTCTAGTATCCTTGCCAGTCTTCTTCGGCTTCTAAGATCTGATAATTTCTGCGGATGTGGAGTTCGAGACACAATAACAAGCACTAATTTGCAGCCAGCTCTAGGGTAGTCAGTGTCTCTAACTCTCCACTACTTCACTCCAAGGTGATTTATAAGGTCGGTCCGTCAACCCTGCATTTTATGGCCTCAATGAAATAAAAACACATACTTTTTAACCTCCAGAGGCTTCTCTGGCAGTGCAAATATGTCACTTCGGATCTGGCTAACTACCTTTCCAGGCTGATCTTAAGCAATATTCACCACATTACCGATACCCCAGACAGCCAGGCCCATTTCGTCGGTCAAGCTCTCTCACGGTTTTCAGACTCTGTTAAGCCCCTTCCTCCCCAGGGCTGTTCACAAGTCCCCACTGTAGTGAAGCTTTTTTCATTTTCCACTCCGCCTCTGCTCCTTAAATTAGGCACTTCGTCCATTACCTACTGCCGTGGTTCTCAAACACCTGCACCTGTATTTTAGCACTTCAGGCTCAAAACGATGATGACACAGTGTCCGAGACTCTATCCAATGAATGAAAGGTCAATCTAGCAGGAAGGCGCCAGACTGGCTATTTCTGATGAGGAGGCGGTCTGAACCGTACTCGCCTAGCCTCCGGCAGCTCCGCGGGCGCTTCGAGGGCTCCGCGCACTGAAAGGATGGGCGGGGCCTGCCCCGACGCTCCCGGCCTCCACAGGGGAGCCAGCCTCCAGGTTTCCCGGCAAGCTCCGAAACCCAGAGGAGGTGGGGAAAGGAGGTCACCGCGCCTGCGTGTTAGGAGGTGTGACCCGGGTGGGAAAGCCCTCCGCGTCCGCCATTTTGGCTGCCTCTGTCGGTCTGTTCAGTTACCACGTGAACCGCCGACGGAGACCCGTAGTGGGGGAGGCGGCGGCAGCGTTAAGTGAGAAAGGGAAAAAGACAACGAGGAAAAAGGAGGTGTCCGGGTAGGACAACGCGGCGACACCCGAGGCCTGGTGGTGGCGGCGGATCGGGATATTCAAGGCTGAAGCAGCCAGGGTACGGCAGCGGCGGCAGTCGGACAAACTGACTGACCGAGCCGGGTGGTGGCGGGAGCAGCGGGAGCAGCCGGAACGATGCCGGCCGTGAGCCTCCCGCCCAAGGAGAATGCGCTCTTTAAGCGGATCTTGGTAAGTGTGAGGCTTCGGGAAAGCAGTGGGGAGGATTTAGCCGGTAACCGGGCCTGTCACCCTTAACCTCGGCCCGGCGGGCACTGAGCCACTCCCGCCCGGGACCCCGCCTTCGTAGTCCTCGTCAGGCCGAATGCATTGCTTCGCCCCCTCTCTGTGGTTCCTACTTCGGCCCGCGCGCCGGGGACCACGGGCTTCTTCCTTCCATCCCCACGCTTGAGGCCCTGGTTCCGGACTAGGCCCCGACCTCCCGACTTCTAGACTCCGGTTCTCATTCTCACCGATCTAGGGGAGAAGAGGCCCGGCCTTTAGCGGGCAAGTGGGCGATATACCGGCAGGAATCGCGGCCCAGTTGGTGTAGGAAACCTGCCGGCAGGCCAGGGTAGCAGCCTTGGAAGGAACAGGTGGTGCCGATGCAGCAGGCTCATTCATTGCCTAAACGCGGTTCTTCCTCCATCATCTGTCCCTCCCTCTTCCTCCTCTCTTGGGATTCACCTGTCTCCGCCCGGCCCTGGGTCACCGAATAACCTGAGAGGAGGGAAAGGAGTTCAGAGAAGGAAAGAAAGCTTTTCAAACGACTACCTCCTTATAGTCAGTTGCATACTGGCGTCTTCAGCTCCTCTGCCTCCCTTGTTCTCTCGTTTTTGGAGTTGGGATGAGGCATTTATTTCTTAGTTTCCGAGCGGGAAACAGCCCCACCCCGTTACTTTGCTCGGGAGGTGGGGCCCATTGCGATGGGGCGGTTCGGTAGGAAGTCAAAAGTTGAGTCTTAAGTTGAAACGTTCCAGACCTAGACTTCTTACACCCTGAAGTGTGCTAACACATGCAAAAACTTACCAGAGAAAAGAGAATATAAAACTTTTAAGATCGATTTTGTAGACGCTAGCTCAAACTTATTCCCTACATTTCAAATATGTGCAGTTTGCATTTTTTTAAACCATAAATGCATTGATGCTTTTAGGGACTGTTTTCATTGTAAAGTATGTCCTGTAGCCTTGGAGCCATAATTAATACATTGTAGCACATTTTTTGTTTGGCGTGTAGTGTGTGGGTTGCCCCTTTTACGCAAACATTTCCTTATGATAGAATTAACTATGTTTGCCAAACTAAAATTTGGGATGTCTGTATGAAAGTGTTAGCCTTTTCTCCTGCAGTTATAATTTATTTCACCTGTTTGAAAAGTAGAACAACTCTGGGGATTCAGTTTTTCTAGAAATAAATAATCATCCTGTTGAACTAACTTTGATTTTACAAAAGTGTCCGTATGCCCTGTAGATTTAGTGAATTTATGTTGAAAAACTTTAGAAAGTCACATGCAGTGTGGCAAAACTGTTACCTTGAAATTCTTGTTTTGTTTTGTTTTCTTCTAAGACCTAAGAGTGTAGGTGGAACTATAAAATAGTTTTTTTTTTTTTTTTTTTTTTTTTGAGACAGAGTTTCACTCTTGTTACCCAGGCTGGAGGGCAATGGCGCGATCTCGGCTCATCGCAACCTCCACCTCCTGGGTTCAGGCAATTCTCCTGCCTCAGCCTCCTGAGTAGCTGGGATTACAGGCACGCGCCACCAGGCCCAGCTATTTTTTTTTTATTTTTAGTAAAGACGGGGTTTCACCATGTTGACCGGGATGGTCTCGATCTCTCGACCTCGTGATCCACCCGCCTTGGCCTCCCAAAGTGCTGGGATTACAGGCTTGAGCCACCGCCCCCGGCCTATAAAATAGTTTTAGGAAAAAAGTTACTTTTAAACCCTTAAAAAGACTAATTGGTGTGTAGGAAAGACTAGAACATAGGTTTCGGATAGCAATTTATCTTTAACCTTTTCTTCACAGTTCTTTATCTTGAAAAAAAAAATCAAACGAAAAGTTCAGAGAACAGGGAACACTCATAAACTCTTTAACGCTTGATATTTTGCCGTAAATGCTTTCTTGCTCCCTATATATATTTACTTATATGTATATATTTTTATAAAAGTAAGTTGTAGACATAAAACTTCATCTATAGGCTGGGCACAGTGGCTCATGCCTGTAATCCCAGCAATTAGGAAGGCTGAGGCAGGTAGATCATTTGAGGTCAGGAGTTCGAGAACAGCCTGGCCAGCATAGGGAAATCCTGTCTCTACTAAAAATACAAAAATTAGCCAGGCATGGTGGTGTGTGCCTGTAGTCCCAGCTACTAGGGCTGTGGCACAAGAATCGCTTGAACCCAGAAGGTGGAGGTTGCAGTGGGCTGATACCATGCCATGGCATTCCAGTCTGGGTGACAGAGTGAGACTCCGTCTCAAAACAAAAACAAAAAACTTCATCTCTAAATACTTCAGCAAGCATATACTAAGAAGAAGGACATTGTCTTTTATGCTTTTAACAATAATTCTCTAATATTGTCTAATATCTGGTTCATATTCAGATTTTCCCAAGGGTTAGCACTTTTTAAATAAATCAAACTTTTAATTTTGTGAAGACTGTAATAATCACATAGTTTAAGGAACAACACTTTACTCAGTGTTTCCAACACTAATACCTTGCAAAACCATGGTTCATTATTATAACATTGATACCATCTACCAATCTTACATTCAGATTTCCCCAGTTTACTTGTACATGCGTGTGAGTGCTTATGCACATGTGTGCAGTCATCCCTTGGTATCTGTTGGGGGTTGATTTCAGGATCCTGCCAGATTCCAAAATTTGCGGATGTTTGAGTCCATTATGTAAAGTGATGTAGTATTTGCATATAACCTATGCATATCCCCCATACACTTTAAATCATCTCTAGATTACTTATAATATCTAATTCAGTATAAATGTGATGTAGTTATACTGTATTTTAAAAATCTATATTTTTTGTTTTAACACTCAAGACTTGCCATCCAGTAACAAAAATTTGCGTTTTTTAATTGTTCTTTTTTTTGGAATATTTTTTTTACCTATAGATGCAGACACCAAGGATAATGAGAGCTGATTGCATATATTTCTGTGCAGTGTTAATCCCATATATAGATTGCACCACTACAGTTAGGCTACAGAACAGTTGCAGCAGTCCAAAGTACCCCTCTGTTGCCCTTATAGAGTCACCTCCATCATCTGTCCCAGCTCCCTCCATTCCCCTCCAGCAACCACTACATGTCCTCTATTTGTATAATTTTGTCATTCCCAGTGTGTTTACTAAAAGTGATCGTACAGTATACAACTTTTTGGGTTTAGAGATGGCGTCTTCTTCTGTTGCCCAGGCTGGAGTGTAGTGGCTATTCACAGGCTCTTATCACTAGGGCCCTGCAACTTCAAACTCCTGGGATCAAGGAATCCTCCCTCTTCAGGCTCCAGCGTAGCTGGGATGATTATAGGCCTACTGCATCCAGCTAATAGTTTATTCCTCTTTATTGCTGAGTAGTATTCCATGATATGGATGTACCACAGTGTGTTTAACCATTCGTAGAGTAGCAATTTTTGATTAAACATCTTTTTTTTTTTTTTTTTTTTTGAGACAGAGTTTCACTCTTGTTACCCAGGCTGGAGTGCAATGGTGTGATCTTGGCTCACCGCAACCTCCGCCTCCTGGGTTCAGGCAATTCTCCTGCTTCAGCCTCCTGAGTATCTCAGATTACAGGCACGTGCCACCATGCCCAGCTACTTTTTTGTATTTTTAATAGAGACGGGGTTTCACCATGTTGACCGGGATGGTCTCGATCTCTTGACCTCGTGATCCACCCGCCTCGGCCTCCCAAAGTGCTGGGATTACAGGCTTGAGCCACCGTGCCCGGCCGATTAAACATCTTAAACAATTTTTTTTGTGGTAGTGTTAGTGGGGCAAAAACCTGTAAGTTCATTGCTAAAATCACAATGCTGAAGATTTATTGATAAGTTATAAGTAAGAGAAATGTGAAAAGCACTAAATGAGAGAAAAGTAAGGGAGCTAAAATGTCCTTTTTGTTCTCATAAATTAGGAATGAAGAAAGTATTACTGACCAAAAGTATAGTATTGATTTTTAAAAATTGCTGCTGTTTCTTGAGATTTGGTAGTAAGTTAGTACTTTTGATTTTAAGATTTCTTTTTGCCCTGTCTGATAAAGGAAATGTTGGACATACTGTGATGTGTGAGCTGTGTGTAATTAAGTGTTGCTAGGTTGGTAACTTTTTTTTTTCTTTTAATGAGACAGAGTTTCACTGATGTTGCCCAGGCTGGAGTGCAATGGTGTGATCTCAGCTCACCACAACAACCTCTGCCTTCTGGGTTCAAGCGATTCTCCTGCCTCAGCCTCCCTAATAGCTGGAATTACAGGCATGCACCACCACGCAGGGCTAATTTTGTATTTTTCGTAGAGACAGGGTTTCCCCATGTTGGTCAGGCTGGTGTCGAACTCCCGACCTCAGGTGGCCTGCCAGCCTCAGCCTCCCAAAGTTCTGGGATTACAGGTGTGAGTCGTCATACCTGGCCAGTTGGTAACTTGTTAAATCATTCCTGTAGCATTCAACTTTTGAGCTGCTTCTTTCTTAGTTGTACTATACTTGTTATGATAGGTAGGAAATGATGTTAGTTTGTATTTCAAAATAATC